ATATATCTATATATCTATATATCTATATAGCAATAGCAATAGCAGTTAGACTTATATACCGCTTCATAGGGCTTTCAGCCCTCTCTAAGTGGTTTACAGAGTCAGCATATTGCCCCCAACAACAATCTGGGTCCTCATTTTACCCACCTCGGAAGGATGGAAGGCTGAGTCAACCCTGAGCCGGTGAGATTTGAACCGCTGAACTGCTGAACTAGCAGTCAGCTGAAGTGGCCTGCAATACTGCGCCACCCATTTTGGGTGCCCCAAAATGCACCTTCCCACCCCCAGAAGAGAATGCCATTTGGATCATTAACCAGCTCAGAAAAATCCTTGACTTCTTGTTCCGTGTTTGAATCCTCCACTTTTTAATTCTTGGACTTTATTTTCTTTTCCATCTCAGGTGCACCAATTGGAAGTAATTTCTACATCTTCACGTGGAGACCAAACTGTTTCTTGGCTAAAGACAGGCGGGGGGAAAACAGAATTTGAAGAAAACAGACCTATGAACGAAACGTCTTTAGGAGATCGAGAAGATTCCTTGTAACCGTTTGAAGTTGCCTTACAGGGCAGAGACGGGATGGAGACACAGCTTTTAGGGAGTGAGGGAAATGGAAAAGGCCGTTTTGCTGTTCAGCCTGGCAGCTGTGGAGAGATTTGGACAAAAAGGGGGCAGAAGATCCTGGAGGAGGAAACCATCCCCCATTCAGAAGTTCAGCCCCGGAATTTCAGCAGCCTCCAATACCAGGAAGCTGAGGGTCCCCGAGGACTTTGCAGCCGACTACACGACTTTTGTAGGCGATGGCTGAGACCAGAAAAGCACACCAAAGACCAGATGCTGGACCTTCTGGTTCTGGAGCAGCTCCTTGTCCTTCTGCCCCTAGAGATGGAGAGCTGGGTGCGGGAGTGTGGAGCAGAGACCAGTTCCCAGGCAGTGGCCCTGGTGGAAGGCTTCCTCCTGAGTCAGGCAGAGGAACAAAAGGAGCAGGTTGAGTTGCAGGTGGGACACCTTCATTTAGGGAATAAAGAATGTGTTTGAATTCTGCACCCCTCCCTCCAAGACTTCTCTGTCATCCAAGCTACATCCGTTCATTTCTCATTCAACCTCACTGATGGATATTGGGGGTTTTCTGGTTTGTTCAGAGAACAAGAATTGGCCTAATGTTCTGAAGTTGTTCATTAACTTTTTCTTTTCTCCTTCCTCCTATTTCAAGTCTGTTGTGAAGATCAGAGATCCTGAGGGATGGAGAAATCCATCAAATCCTCTTCAGGAGATGTTTTGGAGAAGGATCTCTCAAGAAGATCCAAGTCAGGATATCTCAGGAGGTAATGGAAGGTTCTCCCACCCACCCCCCCGAGAAATCCCAGCGAACTCATTTTCTTTTCCTCTTGTCTTCTGTAGAATACCTAGTCCTATTTTGTTAATGTAGTTCAGTGGTTCAAATCCCTAGCGCCATGTAACAGGGTGAGCTCCTGTTACTTGTCCCAGCTTCTGCCAACCTAGCAGTTCAAAAGCATGTAAAGATGCAAGTAGAAAAATAGGGACCACCTTTGGTGGGAAAGTAACAGCGTTCAGTGCTCCTTCGGCATTTAGTCATGTCGGCCACATGACCACGGAGACGTCTTCGGACAGCACTGGCTCTTCAGCTTTAAAACGGAGATGAGCCCCGTCCACTAGCATCAGGAACAACTAGCACATATGTGCAAGGGGAGCCTTTACCTTATTTTGTTAATTATGGATTTTAAAATTCTGTCTCCCACACAGTGAAGAATAGAATGAAGATAACGCCTCCTTATGATGGAACTGAAACAATCTTTGAACCTATAACTCAAGTAAGAAAAGCATAAAAAATAAGACTATCAATAGCATCTGTTCAGTAGAGAATGATAATAATTAAATAATTCTTTGACATGCAAGTGTGTAACACTGATCATTAATAACTGCAATAATCACATTAGCATATCAACATTTTCAAAAAGCCTTAGATTAAGCTTTTTAATGAAGTGCTAAAAAGAGTCTCATTCTTTTTCTTCTGCAAAGGCAAGATGGAGAAAGTCTTAATGATAGTTTGAGGTAGGTAGGTAGGTAGGTAGGTAGGTAGGTAGGTAGGTAGGTAGGTAGGTAGGTAGGTATTAAGTGTTACAACCCCTGGTATGCCCAAATATGGGAGGAAGCCCACTGCTATCCAGACAGAAACCCAATATTTTTACCATTGCCTTTTTACATTTGTGTTGTATTTGTGCTGATAAATAAATAGAGACTAGTATAGTCTACTATTTCAAGCTATTTAGCTCTCATCAGCTAGCTATACCCTTACTGGGATTAGAACCTGTGCTGTATTGCATCTTAGGCAGATGTGTTAACCACTAAGCCACAAGGTCCTTCTCCATTATCAGCTGAGCCAGGGGTTGTAACACTTAATACATACCTATCTCCCTGGCTCAGCTGATAAGAAGGACCTTGTGGCTTAGTGGTTAACACATCTGCCTAAGATGTTATACAGCACAGGTTCTAATCCCAGTAAGGGTATAGCTAGCTGAGGAGGGCTAAATAGCTTGAAATAGTAGACTAGACGAGTCTCTATTTATTG